GAGCAGCAGCAGCACCAGCAGCAGCAGCAACATAAGCCCTAGCCCCAGCAGCAAGAACAACAGCAGCACCACGAGCCCCAGCCCAGCAGCGCCAGCAGCAACCCCAGCAGCAGCAGCAGCAGCAGCAGCGGCAGCAGCTCACGAGCCCCTTCCTGGAAGCAACAGCAAGCCACTGCAGCAGCGGGTCCCTCGAGAAGCAGCAAACAGCAAATCTTTCCATTTTGGCTCCGCTTTGGCCGAAGCGGCCGCCCACGGGCAGCTCAGTGTGCACTTTGAGGCTGAGGGGCTCTCTTGCTGCTGCTGCTGCTGCTGCTGCGCTGCTCCTGCTGCCAGCAAACCCACTGCTGCTGCTCCAACCCCCAGCGAACACGCTCCCCTGCTGCTGCTCATCTTCAGCTGCGAGGCGCTCCCCTGCAGCAACCAAGCAGCAGCAGCCGCGCAGGCAGAAACGCTAGCTAGCTGGCTAGCTAGCTAGCTGGCTAGCTCTCTAGCTAGCTATCTAGCTAGCCAGCTAGCTAGCCAGCTAGCCAGCCAGCTAGCTAGCCAGCTAGCTAGCCGGAACAAGCCTGGAAAGATAACTAGCTGGCTAGCCAAGAAGGTAAAGGGCCAACGTGGGAGACAGGTACGTGACTAGGCACTGCTGGTCCGTGGCTAGCTAGCCAGCTAGCTAGCTACGTAGCTAGGTAGCTCGCTAGCTAGCTAGCTAGCTACCTAGCTAGCTACCTAGCTAGCTACCTAGCTAGCTACCTAGCTAGCTACCTAGCCAGCTAGCAAGCTAGCTAGCTACCTAGCTAGCTAGCTAGCTAGCCAGCTAGCAAGCTAGCTAGCTACCTAGCTAGCTACCTAGCTAGCTAGCTAGCCAGCTAGCTAGCCAGCTACAGTAATCCCTATTTAGTCAGTTATCTAGCCAGCTAGCTAGCCAGCTAGCTAGCCAGCTAGCTAGCCAGCTAGCTAGCTAGCTAGGCAGGTGGCTAGCTGTCTAGCTAGCTACCTCGTAGTATATCTCTTGCTGCGGGAAGCCCCTTTTTCTCCCTTGAAGGAAGAAGACGCCGCGTCGTAGAAGAAGAGCCAGCAGTGCTGCTGCTGCTGCTGCTGCTGCTGCTGCTGCTGTTCTGCGCGTCTTCGCTCTCTCGTGACGCCTCGTCTTCCTGCTGCTGCTGCTGCTGCTGCTGTTGCTGCTCGTCGTCGCTGGCAGTCTCCATTTGCCTGCACCTCCAGAAGGCCTCGAGGGGGTCGCGCGTCGCGTCTTCATGGCCTGCTGCTGCTGCGTCTGCTGCTGCTGCATCTGCTGCTGCTGCTGGTTCGAGAGACAGCAGCACAGAAAGCTTCTCTCTCCAAGCAAGCAAATAGGCCCCTCCCTCTTGAGCTTCCAGATGGTCAAACGCCCCAGCCCTCGCAGTGGGGAAGCGGTACCTGTCATGCAAACCCTAAACCCTAAACCCTAAACCCTAAACCCTAAACCCTAAGCGAAGCACTGGGCTGCAAGTGTTCAATTCTTTGCGCACGGGATTGTCGAGTCAGCAGCAAGAGCAGGAACAGCAGATACGGCAGTTGCAGAGCCAGAGCAGCAGCAGCGGGAGCTTGAGAAGCAGCAGCAAGGTGAACAGCAGCAGCAGCAGCAGCAGCAGCAAATTACCTGGCCAAGACTCTGTGGTGAAGGTCCACGACGACAATCATCCCGCAGGGCAGCGCGAGTGCGACAAGCCACCTGCTGCCTTCCCATTCTGCTGCTGCTGCTGCTGCTGCATCCGCCGCTGCATCCGCTGCTGCTGCTGCTGCTGCTGCTGGCGGCAGCGGCACCAG